TCTCTCTCTCTCTCTCTCTCTCTCTCTCTGTATTCTTTTCTTTTGTCGAGAGAACATCAGAGCCGCGCACTTTCGAGAAACAACTATCCAAGCCACACCCTATCAGAGCCGCGCACTTTTTGGCGATATCGATACAATTAGATTGCTGGTTACCAAAACCAGCACCTTCCAACGATTTAAGTACCCTCAGCGGTTTTTTTTTTTACTTAGCTATGGACTAGATATCAGTTAGATTTTATATTGAATGAATATGCTTTTCAGGTATAAAAACATATCTACGACAGGACTGGGACGATCTTTATAGTGTTGGGGCAGCATTTCTTACTCTTTCAGGATAAAAGTTGAAGTGTGAAACTTGTCCGTCTGTGTACATTTGCTTGTTACACATTCTCCCTTCTTTCTAAGTCGTGCCTTTCTGTTTGGTCTGTGTTTTTTAGTCTCAGGAAGTCGCTTAACATAGTACAGAAAGACGTAATTTTGTCAAGGGGTCTGTAACCATTGGATGGAATCGGCAATCTAATTGTATCGTCAAAAAGTGCGCGGCTCTGATAGTGCGTGGCTTTGATAGTTTTCTCACAAAAGTGTGCGGCTCTGATAGTTTCCCTTTCAGATGGGGTCACTGAAGATTTTCTTAAATTGCCAAGTTGTTTTCCAAAATGTTTATATGATATTTTGCAAGGAAGTGTAGAAGTGGTGTCTAAATGCCATTATGAAGAGATTTGTGGCATATTGCCTTTGAATTTGACAAAATTCTTGGCTGTGTTAGTTAGGGTGATTTTTAACTACGGTATATGTTTCCCCCCCCCCCCCAAATGCACGTATATTAATCTTAAATATCTTGTTTTCTTTTCATTATGGCACACCCCAGTTTGTTAAGTAAGTACACTGCAAATCTGAGGGCCTATATATATCTTGAAAAGTATTTTTTTAGAAATGAGAAAAAGTGAAATCATAAAAAAATTCAAGATGACCGCCATGGTTACCACATTTTTTTGCGAAAATTAAAACATTCTTCATTCATAATATGTTCTTTATGATCCTTTAATGTCACTCTCGTCATGTTTCAAGATATATTAATATATTGTTGTCATGAACATCAAAAATACTAAAATCTGTTAGTGCTTGCCTTTACAAACTCAATTTCTCACTTTGTCTCCCTCCGCCCCTCCCCTACCCACCAGGGAAAAACAAACTATACCTCATACCATACATGTATCTCTCTGTTCATTTGTAGCCCATATTTAAGCTAATTAAAATTTACGTTTCCCCACAATCGGTAACCAGGTGCGGTATTGTGTATGCGTGTATGTTATATGATTTAACAACAACAGCAAACAAAAAGAATACTTAAAATAAAACAAAACTGAGTTTCAAACTCAATGAAAACCTAGGCGTTGCGAGGGACGCGCAGCGCGACAGCGCTGTTTTTAAGCCTCTAAAAAATGGCGACAAACAAAGCACAGCAATAGTGTATTTACGTGGGTGACGTCACAGCTGCGACCTCTAGTACTATTACAACCTCTTTGGATAGTAATTGTTGAAGTATTTTCGATATTTTTGTTGCTGTTATTGTTGTTGATGATGTTGTTATTGTTGTTGTTATTGTTGCTGTTGTTGTAGTTGTTGTTGTTTTCAAAATCATGTCGCAAAACCAGGCGCTGAGTGTCGGACACTTATTATTATTTGTGGCAAATGTAATCAAAATGGCGGACGAAGATAGTAACAAACTCGACTCTGGTGAGGAAATCGTGATAAAACAAGAGGCAATCAAAACTGAACGGATAGAACGCCCTAAAAAGGTACACATGAAGTTCATTTTTTTTCAGGGTACTTAGATACTTAGATCCGCACTAATACGAAAGAATTAGACTCTATTGACTCCGACTCGAGTCAGTGACTGAATGTTTTTTTTCTTTGGTTTGTTATTGTTGAGTTTCAAGAGAGAGGCTTGAACTTGATGCTGAGCCTACTTGACTACTTGAGGTTTTCGACTTAGATATACCTTGGTCTTCTACTGTAGACTAGATCTAGATCTAGATCTAGATCTAGATCTAGTAGAAGGGCACTGTAATAATGGACTGTGGGATATAGATTCTAGATAGAGACATCAGCCCTTGGCGCGACCGTGCCCTGAGCGCGACCAGTTCCCCATTTTTTCTTTTCTGCAGCTCGTGTGCAATCTGTTTTATTAGAGTTACGTCCCTTGTCTAATTCCACTTTTGATCGTTCCTTTTCCGAGAAAGCCAGTCGTCTTCTAGAGTACATCCTGTGGTGCGATATACAGTAAGCGATCTTTTGTGGATATCTCTGGAAGTTACAGGTCGATCTTCATGATTTTTTCACCAGAAGTTAGAAAAACTTCCTCTCTATACGGTGTAGCGCATTACTGTAACAGCAGTTTAAAATTT